GGTGTGGCCTTTTGATTGAGTCCAAGTTTTGCAGAACAAATCCTTTTATTAAGGGGATTTGTTCTGTGAAGTTTGGTTTCAGTCAAAGGGCCACACTTGAGGACCTAGAGAGCCACATGTGGCCTCAAAGCCAAAGGTTCCCCACCCCTGTACTAGATAATATTTAAGTTTCTTTCCCACGTTATGATCTTATGATTTAAAAATAATGATCAAACCAAGAAAACTTCTTAGTCCTATTTGATTAAGGTATTGTCATTAGCTATTTGTCTTAGTCAAGGTCATGTTCCAATGGCCCAATGGAAACATTCAGGACAACATTGCATGTTGATTTCACATGAGCAACCCTTGGGGAATCTCTCTCAAAACCTGCCCTGATTAATCTCAAACCAGAAGCTTAGAGTTTTGTTTTGTTTTGTTTTCTCCAAATGCTTACTTGAACAACCTTTATCAAAAGCCTTCCTTTCTTCATTTTTCCCATTGTGACAAAGTGAAAACAATTTATTTTCTTACATAAGAGTCATATGATTGAAGAGTAAGTCCTTTGTGTGAATTCTATCCCCAATATTATGAAACTTCAGATCACTGGGTTATAGATCAGGGACTATATGCCAAGATAATTGAAGGCCAATTAGGAATCTGGAAGTCAATGTATATTACTAGGTAGTAGGGTACTCCTGGTCTCTGGGAGGAGAATATCTACAGGAGTACAAATTGAGATCCAATAATTCTGAGCATCTCCTAAAATACTCAATTCCTCCCACCTAACTTGTACCCTGAAGAATAAAAGACTTTGTTAGCTGAATTGAAATTATTGTACCTCTGTCTGGGAATTCTGATCCATTTTAAGGTGAAGGTAGGTTTGCTCTTAAAGGAGTTGGACTGCCTCAGATTGTATCAGAATCGCATATATTTTCTGAAATTGTTTCATTCAGCCTGAGATTAACCAGAGTAAGACCTTGTCTGCCTTCAGAGTGTATCTATGGTCAGCTTCAAATTCTAGGTTTGTCTCATTCAAAATCCTGTTTCGGGGGCAGCGAGGTGGTGCAGTGGATAGAACTCCAGCCTTGGAGTCAGGAGGACCTGAGTTCAAATCTGACCTCAGATACATGATAATCACTAGCTGTGTGATCCTGGGCAAATCACTTAACCCTGATTGCCTTGGGAAAAAAAAAAGAAAAGAAAAAGAAATCCTGTTTCTCAAGATGGACTCAGAGCCATGCTTGGGAAATCACTTGGCAGATGAAGATCCCCCAAAGAAGGACCATTTGCTGTCTTGTGGTAATAATTGTTGTTGTTTGTCCTTTGTTTTCAAAGAGAACCAATGACATCAAAGTCCAGTAGCAGGACAAAAGTCAAGTAGGACAAAATGCAGTGGCCCGGGATGCATTGAATGGCCTTGGTATCTTTATGTCTGGCCAAGCTCTAAGCACTTCATAGCTCCTGCTTCAATCACCTTCATGGCCATTGGAACAAATTTTTCTCATCTACCCATTCCACCAGGGAGAAGTCTTCACATGCTGAGGTAGATATCCCTTTAACTCATCAATGGGCTTGAGGCCTGTTGGTTACCCTCAACCTGGTTTATCTTGTCTGCTGAGACAATTTTATTGGGGTGTGGCTGCTGTGCCTGCTACAGCTTCTTGGAGCCACAGGTAAGAGCCGGGTAACTGGCTGAACACCAAAGGTGGATGAGTGGCCCAGCAAAGGGCTCAGCAAACCCTCACACCAGAGGAGTGAGTCCTCCTTTAACATCATGTGCACCTCTGTGGTAAAAGTAATAAGAACAATTCACATCTAAAAAGTACTTTCATGTTCACATGGTGCTTTCTTCATAATGACTTGTACTTTGTTAAGTATAAGATTTTGTAAAATGTCTCTTCTATTCTATACATCTGACTACCTGAACTATATTTAGGTACGTATCTCCTTAGATTAATGCTCTGAGCCCCCATCATGGTTCTCCCTTTTACTGAATCTCTTGCCCATTTGCAACCACTATATCAATCACATGACACCATAGTACAGTAGTAAAAGAACATTTGATTAAAATAGAATAGGAAGCAAATAAAGATATTTTAATTAGACATCAGGCATTTCATTAGCTGTTTCCCTCCAAATAGCCTCATTCTAAACTTCCAGAGTCTGTAGGCTGTGAGTTATCTTAGCTTCAACTTTTCAGTCTTGCACCATAAAGTAGCAGAACAGGAAACAACTTGTGAACTCTCTCTCTCTATGCACTCTCAGAATTGTTATATCTACACAGTAGGGAGGGTAGTATTGGTAGAAGCAGTATTGACTGTGCTGGGTTTCCCATTAGAAGGAATAATCAAATCACAGAAACAGCAAGAAAGTCTAGGTAGGATCATGGAAACTCTGAGCCAGCAGTGTCAAACTCAGATAGAAAGGAATCATGCTGGGACATACCTAGAAAACCACATATTAACATTATCTATATTGTGTTATATATATATTTTCAATTTCATTTTAATCTGGTTCCTATCACATTCTAGAAGGTCTGCGGATTTCTTGAGCCCTGGGACAGCAGTTTGATACCTCTGCTCTGAGTCACTGGCCCACTTTATTGCCTTTTGCAAATAGTGTTTTTTTTTTTCCAAATTGAAGGTTTGTGGCAACTCATCATTGAGCAAGTCTATCAGTGCCATTTTTTTCCCCGCAAGGTGTGCTCTCACAGTGTCTCTGTGTCACATTTCGGTAATTCTCTCAATATTTCAAACTTTTTCATTATTATTATATCTGTTATGGTGATCTGTGATCAATGATTTTTTATGTTACTATTTTAATTGTTTTAAGGCACCACAAACTGTGTCCATGTAAGATGGCAAACAATGGATAAATGTTGTCTGTGTTCTGACTGCTTCACTGACTAGCTATTCCAGTCTCTCCCCTCTCCTCAGGTCTCCTTATTCCCTGAGACACAACAATATTGAAATTAGAACAATTAATAACCCTACAATGGCCTCTAAGTGTTCAAGGGAAAGGAAGATGCAGCAAACTCCATCACTGTCTTGTTTTAAGAAATTGCCACAGACACTTCAACCTTCAGCAACCACCACCCTGATCAGTCAGCAGCCATCAAAAGTGAATCTAAGACCTTCAACCAACAAAAAAAATTACTTCTCCCTGAAGGCTCTGATGGTTAGCATTTTTTAACAAGTGTTTTTAATTAAGTTATACAAATTTTTTTTCTACATAATACCATTGCACACTAAGTAGAATACTATATAGTGTAAACATAACTTTTCTATGTACTAGGAAGCCAAAAAATTCATGTGACTTGCTTTATTAAGATATTTGTTCTATTATGGTGATCTGGACCCAAACCCTCAATATTACTGAGGTATGCCTGTATCAGTTCAATTAAATTCAATTCAACAAGCATTTCTTAAATGCCTACTACTATGAAGCATTGTTCTCGGTGCTAGGAATGTTGTTCAGTCATTTTTTGAGTCATGTGTGACTCTTTGTGACCTCATTTGGGGTTTTCTTGGCAAAGATACTGGAGTGGTTTGCCATTTCCTTTTCCAGCTCATTTTATAGAAGAACTGAAGCAAACAGTGTTAAATAATTAGCCCAGGGTCACACAGCTAGTGCCTTAGACCAGATTTGAACCCAGAAAAATGAGTCTTCCTGGTGCCAAGTCCAACACCCTATCCGTTGTGTCACCTAGCTCCCCAGTGCTAGGAACACAAAGACAAAAATGAAAATAGCCTCTGGTATCTAGTATCTAATGGTTGAGATCCCTGAAACCCAGAACTAAACAGTGAGACTCAGATGAAATCATGACACTAACACCATTCTCTTTTCCTCTCTTTACCTGATTTTCCCAGTTTCAAAACCTCCAACCTCAGAGATGACCTAATATTGCATTTGCACACACTTTTCTGGAACATAGAGAGTCCTGGGTTCTAAAGACTTATAAGGATGTCTTAGAATTCCCAAGAGACTCTTTACCTATTATTCGTATTCCTGTTTTTACAGATGAAGAAAATGAGACTCAGAGAGAGTAAATGAATGGCTTACATGAAGACACATAACTATGAAATATCAGAGTCAAGACTCATATCAAGTTCTCCTCACTCCAAGTTGAAGTCACTCTCCTTTAGATTGGGCTGCTTTTTACTATAGTTGGCACAATGAACAAAATAGAATAAAAGCCGCAGTCAGGTTTCTCTAGAAGCACCATTTTAAAATTTATTTAGTTGCCCCAGGTCTAGAGAGGCATGAAATTCTGTCCCTGTTCTCACCTTTTGATGATCAAATGCTAATGTGTAGATGAGTTTTTTGATGGCCCTAAATCTGGTTTCTCTAAACTACTATATAATGACATTGAAAACTCCAGCTCCTGTTCTGTCCCACTTTGCAGTCAAATTCTTCTTTTGAATTCATTTCAAGATGAGTTAGGAGCTTATTATAGATAGAGCAGATACTGGCATTTAATGCTAGAGCAGAAAGTTAATGAGTGTGAAAAGTGGGGCTTTATGATAGGTAGTGTTGAGAAGTCAGCTGAGGGAGAGCCAAAATATATTCAGAAAATGTGAGAGAGTGGGTAGCAGAAGAAATACAATAGAACAGATATAGTTCTACCCTCCCCACTACATGTGGTTGAACCTTGTTCTAACATGATTTGTTATTACATAATTTCAAATATATAATGGGCATGATACTGTCCCTTAAAACATAACAATTGCATCTGACAAAGTGCTGATCAAATATTGCTTGACTATAAAAAGCCAATATTACCATAGGACTCCATATTACCCTTAGGACTCAGCTTATCAAGGGATTTCACTATATTTGAAGTATATCCTGTCATATAGAAAAAACAGCATGATGGGATTCATAAAGAACTGGACTGAAAGCCAGGAATCTATGTCAAAGGCCTGCTTCTGACAAATATTGGTTATATGCATATATCATGGTAAATTGACTCACAACATACCTTCTGTTGATTGGTTGAACCCAAAGTCAATGTGTTTCCAGCTGGAAGGAGAAGAGTGAATGCACTTCCATCATAAAGGGTACAGTCTTCTATGGTTTCTCTGAATAAAAACAAATCAGATATATGTGATACTTCAAGTTTCCCCTTCCATGGTGTTTCACTGACCATAGTTTATCAATGCCTCACTCTCATATTCAGACCTTACCAAACTCTTTAGACCGATGAATGTGTTACTTTCATGGATTTCTATCATTTGATCTCAAGACTATTAGCTTTTGTTAACACTTTTAAAATGATAGATGTTTAAGGATCATGTACTTTCCCACCAGGTTACTGACTCTTTCTGGTTTAATTATCTACTAATGCCCGGTACACATATCTTCCTTACCTTGGGGGAGGAGGAACTAATCTGAGACTAAGGAATGTTAAATTAGTAGCATGGTCTTTGTACATGGTGTATGATACTTCATTATACAAAAAAAGAATTAGAAAATTTTGGAGTTGAAAGGGACTTCAAAGGTAATTTCTAGGCAGGTAGGTGGCACAACGGATAGAGTACAGAACCTTGAGTCAGGAAGACCTGTATTCAAATCCAGTCTCAGACATTCACTAGCTGTGTGCTCTGGGCTGTTTGTCTCAGTTTCCTCATCTGTAAAATGAGCTGGAAAAGAAAATGACAAGCCACTGGAAAAGAAAATGGCCAAGAAAACCCCAGATGGGGTAATGAAGAGTTGGACACTGAGACAACTCAACAACAACAAAATTCAACAATTAGAATAAAGCAAATCTCATCTTTGATCCCCAGGAATTCTAAACTCCACCTAACCCTTAAGGGTGCTTGGGGAAAACATCAAGCTTGATTTGGCTCTCAGAACTGGTTACCCACTAATCACTAGATCTACTCTTTTGATGGGACAGCTAGATGACACAGTGGAAAGAGCACTGGTCTTAGAGTCAGGAAGAACTAACTCTGAATCCCAACTTAGATACTTTCTAGTTGTGTGACCCTGGACAAGTCACTTAAACTCTTAGTCTTAGATTCCTTGCCTCTAAAATGAAAAGAATAATAGCACCTACCTCATCAAGTTGTTAGGATTAAACACAATAATTTATGTAAAGTGTTTTGTAGCCTTAAAGCATTATATAAATGCTAGCTGTTAATCTTACACATTGAGTAGCGGTCCTTCCCTTTGTAGTCTAGGGCAGTGATGTCAAACTCAAATAGAAACAGGGCCACTAAACCATGTGTAAGGATCCTTATTGGACTTACCAACTTATAAAACTACAAATAAACATTAACTATGTTCTATAGTATTTTTATTTATTTTGTTAAATATTTACCAATTACATTTTATTCTGGTTCTGTCCCACTTAGAGATTTGCAGGCTGTGTGTTTGACACTTACAGTTTAGGGATTTGGTCTTAATGGATTTACTTGAGTAAATGGCGACTTGGGTCAGGCCCCTGCAACAGAAAGATATTCATTCACCTCTTCTTTCTGTGCTATCATTCAAACACACTGGCATAACAATGTAATTAATCACACAATGCTTCTTTCAATAGTATCAATATTTCAACATTTTAATAGATCAATAAATATTTATTAAGTGCGTGCTAAGTGCCAGGAACTGTGCTAAGCCCTAGGATCCAGAAGGGTAATAATGATAATAATAGCTAACATTTTTATAGTTCTTACTATGTGCCAGGCACTGTACTAAGTACTTTACAATTATGTTATTTGATCCTCACAACAACTCTGGGAGGTTGATGCTATTATTACCTTTATTTTACAAGTGAGGAAATTGAGGCAAGAAGAAGCTAAATGACCTAGGGTCACGTAGCTGGATGTGTCTGAAATCAGGCTAGGTGCTCTATCCACTAGACCACCAAGTTGCCAAAAGCAGGTGAAAGATAGTCCTTGCCGTTAAGGAGCTTGCAATCTAATGACTGTATATGTAATCAGTATGTAATTCTTATCTCATATGCATAGACACAAAAGAAATAAAATAAAATGTTACCTTGACTGAGTACCCACCACTTCTTTGAAAGGCAGGCAGTCCTTAAGTCTATAGGCATATTCCACACCCAAGTATTCTAAGGATATAGTTCAGATATAGATTCAAACCTTTTCATAATTTCCTCCACTGTGAATTATCATATTGTCCCTCATGCTATTCTACTAGTGACCTCTCAGAAGGTCAGATACAATTAATTGAAGGAACTTGGGACCCAGTACTGATTCTTCATTTAGTTTTGCTTCTTTGATCTTTATTCTGTTACAGCCTCAAGTCATTAATTCTGTCTTCTAAATGCTTCCCAACATGGATGTCATAGCAACTGGACTGCATAGGAGCCTAATTGCTCTTTTCAACTTGTTCATGGCTAGTAGGATGGTGGAATTGGCTCAAAGGCAGACCAGAGCAGGGAACGAGTACTGCTTCTATTCCTTGAAATCCTTGGGTCCCAGATCAATCTGACTACAGAGAGCCCTTTCTTTATCATTTTTGGTTCTTTTCCTACAATAAACTTTTTGGGCATACCCATCTTGGAAGTTTTATGAGTAGGATAGATTGAAAAATACGTGATCTATGTTTTCTTTTCTAAGTACTATCTTAAATAATATTAGAGTAATCAATGAATTAAAAGAGCAAAGGAAGGCTTGGGTAAATGGATAGGCATGGACAAAAAAACAGGTTATATCAAAATAATGTCTCCTTGGAGGAATTCCCACCAATATCTTTGAAATATTATTAATTAATTATTGTTTTAATTAATTACTTAGAAGATATGCTTATAGAGGGGAAGGGGGATATAATTTTCCCCTCTTATTCAGCTGAAGTAATCATAGAATGTAGTCACATGTAATGAAGTTTTAATGTCTAAACATTCATCTCCACCCTGTGATTCCTTTGAGTTCCAAGAGGAGGATATAGGAAAAAATTCCAGGTCTTTCACTGAAATAAAGTGCAATCTAGCAGTGGGTCATCCTGCTGATCTACCACACCTGTAACTCTATCCAAAATGAGAGAAATGGAAAGAGAGAGAGAGAGAGGGAGCAAGGCAGAGAATAATTTCTATGACTTATTCTTAGTGAATATTATTACACACAATGATCATTACAGTTTGTTTTTTTTTTAATTCTTGCTAACTGCTTAATAACCTATTGTAGAATTTTTCTGGGCATTGACATCTTACTTGGCTACAGTTACAGAACCTGCCTTTTTCTCCTGTGTGAAAATCCAAACATTTTCTCATATTTTCCCTTTTGTCACCTGTCCCCATTCTTCATCATATTTTAAAGACAAAATTGACATCAAGTCCACAGTCACATCTGTAAGTTATTCCATACACTTGTAATGTAATTTTCTGAGCTGGGAAACGAACTTATTCAAGCAACATGGTATTCTCTTAATATCCCATCCCATATCTTGATCTATAGTTCCCTTTCCATGGTTTGCTTTAATCCTTTCAAAATCTATTCTTCTACCTGCAGGAAATGGAAGGTAAAGAACATTCAACTCTTATCAAGCAAATGATCCTTGGGCAAATCATGTCACCTCTCTGGGCCTTATTTCTTCATCTGTAAAATGACAGTCAGACTAAACCCTAAGGCCATTCTCCACACGAAATCTATGATCCTATAATTCTATGACCCCTTGAATATTGTGGAATTCTTCTGCAAGAACTGGGCCTATTCTTTCCTTGAGCTTACTTTTATTTTATTTTTTTAAGTTGCCATTCGGTTTCATTCTTAATGAGCCTCAGTTCAATTTGAGCTGTATTCTGCATAAAATTATCCTCAGAGTTTTGTGTCATTCTTCTCAATTTCTCATTGGTTGTTTGCTTCTCCTTTGGTCTTTTAAAATGTTCTTTTAAAAATCTAAATGCATGTGAAAACTCTATGCTATTATAATATACATATATAAACACTTTTGAGACTCGAAAAAATTTCATAGTGAACAAAAGAATGAGTACAAAAATATACTTTCTAGTGGAAAAAATATCCAAAGTAGATTTTAAATATATATGCATGTGCATATGTCATTTATACACACACACACATATGTATGTATCTTTGTGCATATATATATATATATATATATATATATATGCCCTAAATTTATCCCTTTGCTCAATTTTTGTTGAAATGTTTTACTAAAGTCAATTCCATTCCATAACATGCCTAACAAAAGCATTGTATGTAGTCATCCTTACAGCTGTGCACTTTGGGGAATTAAAGTAGTAAATTTCAATGAAGTTCAATTAAAGGTGTATTGGATTAGCGCCTGTCCTCCATTGAATTTCAACTAGCTTTTAAAATTTTAATGTAGCCCCTATCCAAAGAGGTTTTTTTTTCTTCTGTATTTAGATTAAAAACTTGATTATGCCAAATGTTATAAAGTTTCAAAGGAAGATGTTGGGGGTCTTTTTTCAGAGATTTCCTCAGCATCAAGGCTCTCTCTTTAAACCCAAAAATATGTCCCATAAATAGGACTTTTGCACCAATATGGCTCATAGCTCTGCCAGAACTTGAATACCTTTGACAATATACTTAAAATTCCAACTTGGAATCTGGGAACCCCTTTATATCACTTATTTTCTTTTATAAATCACAGACTCAGACAACTAATACAAGCCTGATATGTTTCAAAGGACCTTTCATTGCTGAATATTTTCTCTCTTGGGAAAATAAGGGATAGCACATGTTGATACAATCAGTATAGGAAACCTAGTTATGCTATTTGCTGCTTCAAGGAAACCAGTGAACCCAGGAGGTAGAGAGCAGAAGGGAGAACATTCCATGCATGGTGGACAGTCAGAGAAAATACCTTGAGTCAGAAGATGGAGTATCTTGTTTGAGGAATAGTGAAGATGCCAGTGGCACTGTATTAAAGACTACATGAGGGTCTGTAAGGTATAAGAAGACTAGAAAGGTGGGGGGGGGTATGTTATGAAGGACATTGAATGACAGAGGGTTTTATATTTGGCCCTGAAAGTGATAGAGAGCCACAGGATTGTATTTAATAAAAGAGTGACATGGTCAAATTTGCACTTTAGGAAGATCACTTGGACAGCTGAGTGAAGGATAGACTGGAATGG